ATCCGCAGACATACCGCTGTGCCACTGGGGTGCATTCCCCTTGTGAGTCAGCGGTAAGTTCACTGACGTACAACACTAAAATTTGGGGTTCGATTCCCCGCAATGGAAGAGTGCACATAGCCTATTTTGTAGTTTAAAAAACAAAACTAAACAAACACGAGAATAAACTATTAACGTAAGTATTGTTTCGTTCGAGTACTTAATGAAATTTGTTTTAAGGTAACTTTATTGGTTATATAATCTAAATTCGATTTACATTTTTTTTTACTTTTTTAAACGTTTTACTCGTATTACCTATCTACGTCTGACTCGCTAATGTTACGCAAGCGTTTACAATGGAGAATATAATGATAACATTTTAAAGCACCGCCGTGAGATTCAAAATAAATTTGTAGTGTGGATAAAGAACGCTATGTATTAAGGGTTAACCGCATGTTACATGTTACGATGTTACATGTACTGGTTCTACCTATGGATCTACTTCTTCCTTGGATGCCGTAAGTTCTAAGGATGACGAGATCACACACCTTAACAACCTTTCTACAAAACCTCCAGTCTACGTTGACACCAATTTCCAAGACCACGTTTAAACAAACCGAAGACTCAGAGGTCCATCAGATGTGCATCGGGGGAATTGAAAAGTACGTAGTCAAATGGACTTGCTGTGATTCCGGTTTCTTTTGTCCACCTTTACTGTGATTTCTGTGGCTGGAAGGCTAGAAATCTTCATTAACTTTAGGTCCTGTACTAGAATACATGATCAACTTCATGACATTTGGTTCTCTGTGTCAGAGGACTTTCTTGCATAACCTTGACCATCACTTTTATGGATGAGGGCGTTTCTCCAGGTTGTGTGTGTGTAGCTATGAGAACCAGTTCCTGTCTCAAGTTCTCTGTCGTTGGAGATTTTCTGCACTGAATGTTCTTTTTTTCTCTCTCCAAAATGCTCTGTCTGTTGTTTCTACACAATTCAATATTTGCAAGTGAAGGAAAAGAAGATATAATTTACCATCAGAAAATTGATGTCGGTGGTTTACAAATGTAATCTCAAACTAATGAATAAAACGTTTAGTGTTTTCTTTACTCTCACTGTAGGCCCAGCATGGCCAGGTGGTTAGAGCGCTCGACTCGCAATCTGAGGGTCGCGGGTTAGAATTCCCGTCCCACCAAACATGCTCGCCCTTTCAGCAGTGGGGGGCGTTATAATGTGACGGTCAATCCCACTATTCGTTGGTAAAAAGAATAGCTCAAAAGTTGGCGGTGGGTTATGATGACTAGCTGCCTTCCCTTTAGTCTTTCACTGCTAAATTAGGGACGGCTAGCGCAGATAGCCCTCATTGTAATCTGGTATGTCAAAAATACTTAAATCATGTTGTTTGATACACCTTGAACTGGATATACTTGATCTACTCATAAAATACACATTTTAGTTACGACATATGTTGCACAATGTACTGATATTTTTGTCATAATCTCATTACATCATTTATTAAATATAGTTTACTCACAGAATGTGCTGCTCATCATTCACTCATACTATTTACTTTAGCCATGGAAATTGTTACATCATGAATTGGTAAAATACTTATCTTAGTCATGGTTTTACATCATTAGATGAATATATTGACTTTAGTTGTGGATGTTGTAACATCATGAAGTGGTCACACTTACTTTAGCCATGGAAATTGTTACATCATGAATTGGTAAAATACTTATCTTAGTCATGGTTTTACATCATTAGATGAATATATTGACTTTAGTTGTGGATGTTGTAACATCATGAAGTGGTCACACTTGCTTTAGCCATGGAAATTGTTACACCATGAATTGGTAAAACACTTATCTTAGTCATGGTTTTACATCATCAGATGAATATATTGACTTTAGTTGTTGATCTTATTTTCTCACGAATTGAGCATATTTACTTTAGTTATGGATGTTGTAACATCATGATGTGGTCACACTTACTTTAGTCATGGTGTTAAGTCATGAATTGGCCTTATTTACTTTAGTTTTGAATTGTGAATTAGTCATGGTGTTACATCATGAATTGGTCATGTTTACTTTAGTTATTCGATGACGAGGAACCCACTTTGAGACTAATAATGGTTGGAGACGGCTTGAATGGGTAATGAAATAAAACTTTAATATAAGTTTAACATGACAGCAAATGGACAACGTACATGTACTTGATGATGACAAAACGTTGTACATTTGCTGTTATGTTAAACTTATATTAAAGTTTTATTTCATTACCCATTCAAGCCGTCTCCAACCATTATTACTTTAGTTATGTATGTTGTTAGATCATGGGTTGAGCATACTTTAATTATGGATGTCGTTACATCATAAATTGGCGTTACCTCATACACAGAAAATATTTACTTTATTTATGGATCTTGTTTTATCACGATTTAAACATACATTAGTTATGGATTTAATTAGAACATGAACTGGTCATATTTACTTTAATTATGTAAATTGTTACACCATGAACAGGGCATACTTACTTTAGTTATATAACTTGTTACACCATGAACTGAGCAAACCTGTTGACAGGGCTCATTTACCTAATGTATATATATATATATATACTTACAGATGATGTAACGAATGGCGCTTAGGTGTCTTAACAGTTTTTATCTCTCTCCACGATCCGCAGGTTTCTGGATCCAAATTCTGGCAAGTGGAACGATCTTGCATGTGTTGTCAAGAGATGGGAGAAAGAGAAGCCAGCATCGGGATTTTCTGCCCTCAGACTAGACCTCGATTCCGTCGGATAATTACACGTGCTCCCGTGGACTGCATGTGCCGACCCTGCACAGCCGTGGACGAAGATTCCGTTCAAGCACAGGAAATAGCCAGCTTACTGAAAGACAGCGAAATCGTGGACGAACTGATGTAAAGGCTGACGGGTCTAACGGCCATATGCACAGCTGGATAACAGAATTTTTCAAAACAGTCTATGACACGTTTTTTTTTTTTTTTGTTTATATTGTTAAGGAAGTGTTTAGATAGCTTTTAGTGTTTTTCTTAGCATATTCGTAAATTTCAAGGTTTATGTAAGTGTAGAGAGAGAGAGAATTAATGTATTCATATAAAACATTTTGAAATAACTTATATGAAACAGAGTTTAGTGCGTTACTCTTTCTCACTATACTCGAGAATCACCAATTATAGACCATGGTCCTTTTCTTTCTGTCACCCGGTGGGTCAGCGGCAAGCTCATGCACTTACAATGCTAAAATCTGGGGTTCGACTCCCCCCAGTAGCCTTTCACTAAAATAAGTGAGTTTTTCTTTCTTTCATTTATTTAAGACATTATTTGAGTTATAGTTTAGATTAACTGATTGAATGAGTTATAAAACAGTTACGTTTTTATGAATAATAATGGAAACATTATATATGTAATATTTAGCCACTAATCCTACTATACTGATGTTGACAAGCAGTGGCTCTATCTTATAAAATATGACCCAACGATCCCCACTTTGTGTGTTACCTGCAGTGTTTGTTTCAACAGAATGTTTTGCAAATTGAATAAAATGTTCTTAAGTGTGAATCTGTGATAGTTTTTTTTTTGTCATGTGAAAAAAACAATGTATTCATTATAAAAATTATCAGCAACATCCACACGCAAACTATCTTTAAACCATCGAAAATGGTGACAAAAATAATGTGGCATTATTGATAACACTTTAAGATATGAGCTATAGCAAACAGACGTAGCAATAATACTTTTAACTTTATTGAGGTCTTAAGAAAGGATATGGCAGATATAGTAATTAACGGAATATATTCTAGAGCTAATACAGATATCTTTAACGAGATACAGAAACAGTTCTTTTTCATCCTCTTATATTTCTTGAAACTAATGGTGAAACTAACTATAAACTAGTGATCTGTTTACTTCAAAACACAAGTAATTATCTTGTACTGTTCAAATAAAACTGCCTAATGCAATAAAGTATAACATAAAGTTGTTTATCTATTTATGGCATCATGGGTATTTAATGTAAAAGATGAGACTTAATTTTGTTTTTTTTGAAATACACATCTTCTACTCTTCAAATCACACAAAACCACTGTTAAAAGTCAGAAAGATTTTATTTCGTACGAAGATACAGATGTTAATCAAAAACAATACTGACAGCAAAAAAAGTAGGTGGTGGGACATTTTCTGTGACATGAACAGTGACTCACTAAACAAGGTAGCAGAATACGATATTAATCCTACAGATTAACAAGTAAAACCTCACTGAGTCTAATGACTACACACACAACGCAGTGAAACACGTGCAAGTCTCTAGCGAACTATCTGACAGTAATGACTATAGTTAGGAAAGTTCCAATGCTTTCAGGCTGAACCTGTATACAACTACACAAGACCTTATCTTGCTTATGACAAACTTAAAACTAAATATTTTTTTACAACAAATTTCTTCATTTCAGTATGTTGAAATAAATATATTTCATATTCAAATATCAAAAGAAATCTACAAAATGTGAATGTTCAACAGATTATTTTATTGAAATGCTACAGTTAGAGTGCAACTCCACGATTGTTTGTTTGAAGTTAAGCACAAAGCTACACAATGGGCTATCTGTGCTCTGCCCACCATGGGTATCGAAACCCGGTTTCTAGCGTTGTAAGTCCACAGACATACCGTTGTGCCACTGGGGGCGCAACTCCATGAAGTCTTGTACATTTTCTCTCACATCAAGAGCTTTAGGATGAAAGTGAACGTGTTCACTCTCAAGCTGTAATTTGAACTAAATATAAGCCCGTTGTCCTGTCGACTTTTACTGAAAATGTGATTATAAAATTTAATACTGTTTTTAAGTTCATAACTTCATTAAATAACTGGCAAGTACATATTCCTATAAATTCTTCCTTGTGTGTCACAAGCTGTTCAATACCAAAGTTTTAACTTATCTAAAAATAAAATAAAAAAATCTAGAGGTAATGTGAAAAGTAATTCGTTATTAATACCAAAATTGAAAAATCTAATGCTAGGCTAAACACGTTCACTGAATGCTTAATTCTTAACACGACACTCAAACCAGACTGTTACATTCTAACAGTTTCTACTAAATGTATTTTTTTCTTGAAATCAAGAAATAGTAAAGGTTTGTCTTACAGTGCAAATATTTACAATATTGTTAAAAGGTAAGTTTTTCATTACAGAGATTTAAAAAACAAAAACGTTTTTGTTGTTCAATAAATTTCCTTGTTTTTAAGTGTGACTAAAATTTTAAGGTCACCGCCTTTGTTGTATTGGAAAGGTGTAATATTGTAATATTTTACTTAATATTTTTAAATTTTTAGATTAATCATTTCATCAATATTTCTTTAAAATTTTTTTGAAAACAGAAGAATAAATATATATATATTTATAACAAGAATTAATTCATATGGATTTTTGTAATTTCAAAAGCAGTGCTACTTTATTTTACTGGTATTATCCTAGTATACAGGCAGAAGTAAATTCTACAAAGACTTCTAATGTGATCAGTATCTAATCTAAAATTACATAATCTACAGAGAAACTGTTCTTTTATGAAATGCCTTAAAGTGTGAAATAAAAACACATTAAGAATTTAGCCGAAAATCATGTTTGTCCAAAAAACATACCAGTAACATCTTTACTTCAAAAAGAAAACAAATACATTAATTACATGTTTCATTTTATGTGCTTATCAAAATAGCTAGGATCCAATGATTGAGCTACCATGATTGGTTCCAAGCATAATGAGACAAGGGCGAGGAACAACAACAACAAACAAACAAAGGTAATGAACCATTGTCAATCATTTTGTTTACATTTTCCAGAGCAGAAATTATAATTAAACCCATAATTAAATGTGTAGAAAGGAACAAGATACCAGATTTACATGAAGCAAGTTATAACATATGTAATGGTAACCGATAGTAAAATAACAGAAGAAAACAGTACCACAATTTGGTTCCGCACCTAGTTATAATATACAGATCACCACTATAAGAAGCCTTTTCTTGTTTTCAATTTGTCCTTCTCCATGGTTTATGATGATGGGTGGAATTCCCAAAACTGACCAAATTCAGTGACAAGTAGTGAATCAAATGATAATATTGTACTTCATATTTCTTTTAAGAAGCCTGTTAATACTAGTAACCATACCAAACATCAATCATAAACCTAACTCATTCTTTTTATCTCAGTTACAATCAGACATAACTCAGTGGAAAGGTTCACTCACACCAGAACCAATATTCTGCATATGTGCAGCTGTTTATATTAATGTAAACTGGGGTGAGAAGAAACATCTAACTTTTTGTACAAGTTTATTCCTTCTACATTCTTTGTTTAACCTTATCCACCTGAAATAAATGCTATTATTAAGAATTACAATATACACTTCAAACTTGATATCTGATTCATATTATATGTAATGTAACTGTTATTTACTAATACGAATGTAGAGATTGTAATCCCTTTGCCATTCCAATATATATCTTTTACTATTACCGAATAAGATCTAACTAGTAACAAATTGAAACCCATTTCATGTAATCGATTAGTTCATTATTAGTATTAAATCAGACCATAACCTGGAATCCATTAAATAACTAGCAGTAAAAAATTAGGTCATTATTACTAATACACTGCAACAATCCATTTGATCATTAATGATAACAACAAGAACCATATTTCATAATCCATTAAACCAACATGTATACGTAATACTTCAAGGCATTACTGGTAATATTATTATTGGACTAGATTATTAATGATATTCCATTAAACTGGTATGTGTAATCCATTACAAGTATTAATAGTACTTGAAAATAGTGAATAAAAACCACTAGATCATTACTAATATCAGACAATTAATGGCAATAAATTAAAGAAGTATGTGTAATCCATTACATCATTACAAGTATTAATAGTACTTGAAAATAGTGAATAAAAACCACTAGATCATTACCAATATCAGACAATTAATGGCAATAAATTAAAGAAGTATGTGTAATCCATTTGATTACAGCTAATAAGAAATTACCGTAACACTGAAAAAGCATTTAAACTAGTATATATAATCAAGTATTTACTAATAACAAACTATATCAGTACATGCAATCCATTACATTATCATTAGGTCACTATCAACATTACAACCAAAAATTTAATATGTACCAGTAATTCATTATACTAATATCAGTAATCCAATAGATCACTTCCATTGTTACAACCAATAATTTAATATACACTTATCAATAATCCACTATACTATTAGTGGTAATCCAATAGATAGATCACTTCCATTGTTACAACCAAGAATTTAATATACACTTACCAGTAATCCATTATACTATTATCAGTAATCCTATAGATAGATCACTTCCATTGTTACAACCAAGAATTTAATATACACTTAACAGTAATCCATTATACTATTAGTGGTAATCCAATAGATAGATCACTTCCATTGTTACAACCAAGTATTTAATATACACTTACCAGTAATCCATTATACTACTATCAATAATCCAACAGATAACTTCCAATGTTAAATTAATCTGTTCTGGTAAGAACTATTCTGGAGTCTATTTTGTGACTGATTATTATAAGAGTATATAAAAAAATAATAATCCACACCACATTAAAATTATATTTTGGAATAAGAAAAGCTAGGAATGAAAGCTCAGTGGCTCTCAACCCTCTGAACCCTTTCAACATGAGCAAATTCCTTGCAGTTTCCAATCTAACATTACAGCAGTCTCTACACAGAATGAACTCAATATAGAATTGGTGAAAATTCTAGAGATGTGACTATATATATTTCAAATTATGTATAAAATTATTACTAACAGATCACTACATGGTATTCACATGGTTTGGGAGATCCATCTTTATACATCAAGAAAAAAGGGGGGCATTTAATTACTCTTTGGCATTTTCATTACATTATTATATTCTAAGCCAATTATTAAAGTTTTTACTTGGAGAAACACCCAATTAATATGATATATTTTGGTTTTCAGGAATTTCACGTTATACATATATGACAGACAAAATTAAAGTATGGAAGGTTAAAATGTATTCAATTAAGAGAATTGTAATATGTAGGAGTAGGATTCGAACAGCAGTGGAGATATAACAAGCTTCACATCTATCTATATATATATATATAA